TGTCAGACAAGCTATTGTGGAAGTAGGAGGGATCACCGGTGTCAAAGGTCATCGGTGATTCGGTCGGAGGGCGGAGCGCCAAAGGCTGTTGGTCCTTTGGAGAAGAACGAAGAAGAGAACTCAGAACTGGGACTGGGAGAGTGGGAGTCTGAGAGAGAGAGAGAAGGAAAGAAAGGGAAAGGGAAGGGCACGGGTGTCAGTCTATCAGACAGGCTATTTTCCAGTCTGCCAGATTGGCGCGGGTGTCAAATTGTCAGATTGGCGAACTGAAAAGTCTCAGTTCATATTAGATTTAAAAAAAAAAACATAATATATATATCGGTCGGTTCAATTAATCGCCATTTTTTTAAATGGTTAACTAAAATTGAATCAAAACTATCGATTTTTTAAAAACATCGAACCGAAACTGAACCAACCAATAACCAAATTGGTCGGTTCAGTTTCAGTTAGTTTTTTCTCAGCTTTTTTTTTTTCTCAACCCTTATTTTATCTACATGCCATCAAAACACATTCCATTTTCATGGCTTAGATTAGTTGAAACTTTTGTACATCACTTGGATTTTCAAGATGAGCCGATTGGTTTTGAGGCACTACTTCAATAGTTTAGTTCTTTGCTCCATGATTTTTAATATATCTGACAATAGATATTATGATATGGTTTTCCAACCATCATAAACCTAAAACGGTCGAATAGCTTAGACAATTGGTTCGGTTTCACCCCCTAATCTCTCCTTTGCCAAAAAACTTTTGATTTGGTCAGCAATACACTGACCCATTGTTGATTTATTTGACTCAAACAATCAATCATTATTATCTTAATTAATTTTTAAATTGCAACAGACCGTCTGTTCAATTTAGAAGAAATACAAATGCAAATATAGAGTGTAAAAGTTTATATTTTATATTACTTTGTATGTATTCGTATAGTACATATGTACTCTTTTCAAAGAGATAAAAATTTACGGGGTAAAAAATAGTTTCGGCGGTACGTGGAATTTACCCGAAAAAAGAAAGAAGGGTTCGACTATGATATGACTACGAGATAACCAATGGGAACAAAATATGACTATGCAGAAGCCAATAGATGCATGACACGTTTGATATCGTTGAAAAGCCGATACACCGTCTGAATCATGGCCGTCAAATCTCCATCAGAATAGAAACGTGGCAAACGAAAAAAGAAACACGTCTATTGATCAATATATTTGGTCAGCACCTCCCTATAAAGGAGGACCTTTGCTCCCCGAGTCCCTCTGTTACAGGCTTTATCGCCGACGTCCGTCGTCCTCACTTCCGTCGTCCTCCCTTCCACGGCCAAATCGAAGGGTGTGTTCTATCTTACGCCATGGCGGAAGAGAAGTACAACCTGAAGAACCCAGCGGTGAAGAGGATCCTTCAGGAGGTGAAGGAGATGCAAGCAAACCCTTCCGATGATTTCATGAGCCTTCCTCTCGAGGTAACACCCTTCCAGACAGAACTTCTGCGATCCCCAGATCTCCTCCCCCGATCTGATAGGATTTCAAATTAATATCTCTGTTTATTATCCTTTTTCTTTTGTTTTTCGATTGGAAAAACTAATTTTGATTTTTGATGTTTCTATGTAACCGATTACAGGGATGTTTTTCCTTGTGGAACATTTCGAATTTTTTTTCCCTTTTTAACTAATTTTGGGAATGGTTCCTCTCTTGAGGCCGATGAGGTATGTTTTGAAAGTAAAGTGAGGTTCCGATTTTGGTTGGGAGCGTGATCAGAGTTTCATCCTTTGTTTTTGTCGTCTCTGGGGTTTCTTTTAAAAAATTTGTCACCGTCCCTTGACACAATCCAACTACAACGATTTTCATTTTTTTTCCGGTTAATTTGAGTTTTTACCTGAATTTAGGAGGCTCGACCATACGGTCCATACCATTAGGGAATTTGGGATTCGTATGGGTAACTAGGGATCTGATATTATAATCGGAATTTGAATTCCAAAGGAAAAAAAAGAGAGATGTAGCGTTGCAAGATATTGAATTGTCAATTTGTTTTTCTTATTGCAACTCCTGGTGGTTTTCAAAATCAGCTAATTTTGATATTATGTTGCCAGGAAAATATATTTGAGTGGCAATTCGCGATCAGAGGTCCCCGTGACACAGAGTTCGAGGGAGGAATCTATCACGGACGGATCCAATTGCCAGCAGAATATCCATTCCAACCTCCTGCATTTATGCTGTTAACTGTAATGACCCAACTCTCCACATGAAACTATTTAGGTTGATTCATCATCCAATAGTAGTAATAGAATTTACATGGGGTGTATTAGTCAACTTATTTGCATCCTATTTAATAATTTTTCATCAGATGATGTAACTTTTGAGTATTCTGTTTCCCTTTTCAGCCTAATGGTCGTTTTGAAACACAGACGAAGATTTGTCTAAGCATATCCAACCATCATCCGGAGCATTGGCAGCCATCTTGGAGCGGTAAATCACTCTCCTTTTTGAAACATTGTTATGGATGTATTTTAAAGAGTGGTGATTCTTTAGTAGCTCGCACACTGGAGCTGGATAAACCATATCTCTATCACTCATAAGCCTCAAAATTGAGTCACCAAGAAATTTGTTAGCTTTTAGTGATAATAGATGGCGTTTGGAATAGCACCCATTATATTTCTCATATAAAGTAGCATTGGAGCACCAAAAGTTCATAGTCTGGTTCATTAAATCCTCGGTTTACTGACTATACGAGCATGGTGCTATAGAGATTTCTTCATGGTCATCCTGCTGTTGTTTGAAGCTTTTGCCAAATGGCTAAGGTGACAGAGGACATCCACCAGAGTGATAACATCCTTTAGAAATGTGAGGGGTTGAAATTCTCAAACTGTTAAATGGTTTGGTCATGTGCATAGAAGATCATTTACAGCATCTGTTAGAAAAAGTGATCTGTTAGAAAAAGTGATCATTTAAGTGCCTAGAATTTAATGACAGATATTACACTGAGCAGAAATGAATGGTGTAATGTAGAAGACACTATATGGTTGGGACAAGGCTTAGATGAGGATGAGGATGATGATGAGAAAATTTCAAACTTCTAGATACTGGATCCATGAATGTTGTTTGGTTATTAAGCTTGCAATTGCCGCAGAAAAAGCACTTGCATTTTCATTATATTTATGTAGTATTCCTCAAATAGTGTTCATAAATCACATAAACATATAAGGCTATAAGCATTGATTGCATCTAAATTCTTGTCATGTGGTTAATATTCCACCGTTGTTTGCAGTGAGAACTGCTTTGGTAGCATTGATTGCATTCATGCCCACCAACCCAGATGGTGCACTGGGCTCATTGGATTACAAGAAGGAAGAAAGACGTGCATTAGCCATCAAATCTCGTGAAGCAGTCCCCAGATTTGGAACTCCAGAACGTCAGAAATTGATTGATGAGGTCAATTGATTACAAAACTTGGAATTTCCATGTATGAACATGTTGCTTGGTTTCTAATGCCCTCCCCCACTTACAAAGCTTTTTGACGGTGCAGATTCACCAGTGTATGTTAAGCAAGGCACCACCAATTCCGCAATTAAATGCCCCGCAGGCCTCGAATGAAGAAGAATCAACCGAGAAAGAAGCAGAGGCAGAGGTTAGCCCGCAAAATTCTGGTGCGGTAGCTGCAGCCGAGGGGGGTCATCCAAACCCAGAAGGTGATGATAGGATTGTGGAAGATGTGCGAGAGGTCCGAGTGAATGCTAATGCTGGCCCATTGAGAGTCAGCTTCAGCGCAGGTTTGAGGGTGTCAAGACGGATGCCTGCTGTTGACCCCAATGAGCAGCAGCAGTTGCAGAGGCAGGAAGTAAGAGTGCGGAAGCCCACTGATGATCGTATCTTTACGTGGGCTGCCATTGGCCTCACCATTGCTTTAGTGTTCCTTTTACTGAAGAAAATTTCCAGATCCAGCGGATACAGTGCTGGTTACGTGGAGAGATTGTAGATAGCAGAGACCTGGGGCGATGCAGACTGCAGAGGTGGAGCTATAACATTTTCTCGGCGAATTCCTATTTAGAGGGTTAAATAGAGAAAATGTATCCAAAATGCATGACATGTATTATATATCTCGTATGCTTATGCTTTCTCAAGTTTACATGTTAATAATATACATTGCAACTCGTTTCGCTACTGAGTTTGCGTTGGTGCAAACTGCAGAGGATAATTATCCTCCCTGTGTAAAAAAAAAAAAATCTCTCTTTAGTCTTAAGAAAAATGGTGCCAGTTGAATTTCAACATCACTGTTGAATACCTGTCTTTGTTAAGATCGATATATAATTGCCCAATGCACTTATTTACAGGTAATACTTTGAACATGAAAAAATATATATTATCCATATGGATCCACCCCCTTTTCATCTATTATGATCATGTTCAGGCTAAATTGAGGAGTGTTTAAAAGTAAGTGCTCTTACTTGATTAAGTGCTTATTTTGGGCCGGAGAACATCAACAAGCGATTTATTTGTTTATTTTTTAAAATAAGTACTTATTTTAAGTTAAAGATTTGGAGTTATTTTTAAGTGCTTATTTTCTTTGTAGCCTGTCTTGGCCCATCATGTATCATGTCATTTTGAAAGTATCTATACTATCTATAGAATAAGCATTTATTTTTAAGTGGATATTCAATAAACACTTATTTTTCAAATAAGCGCTCCCAGATACCTTTATATCTACAAAAAATTTATATTGCATGTTTGCAGTTTAAATTCTGTGACACAGACATTAGAGTAATTTTTAGTGTATTTAATTAATAAATATAATATTTTGATCAATTTTAGTTCAATTAATAAAGGCCATTCAATATCATTGTAGAATCTGATTATCTGATCTATTATACATTTGGGTTTGCAGCTATGTAGATTAGACATTTAGACCTTGTCAGCATCTTCATCCCCAGGACAGTGATCAGTACCCCTTTCATCAGGATACTGATCTGAAAATAAATAGTCCTTGACCAGTGAATTATAGTTTTCCTACAATAATCATAAAGAAAATTATCTTGTTTGGAAAGAGACTGGAACTACTAAGCACGTTAAATGGGCACTTGATAAATATTTTGACAACTGTCAAAAGTGGGTATTAATCTTTTTTAAGGATAGACCGGAGGTATTTTAAAGGACAGGTGTCGAAAAAAATTCGAAGTGTTCATTGCCAGGGGACCCAGGGGAACCATGACCCCCCATGGTCAGAAATAGACCTGTTCACGGGTCAGGCTTCGGACCTGACTTACATTGTGTTGGGCTCGGGCTTCAGGCCAGACCCATTCAAATTTTGGCAAAAGCCAAGCGTGAACTCAGCCTATGAACAGATCTACCCAGAAATCCCCACCATTAATACCATTTTTTCATGTAAATTCCTCCCTCCCCACCCCCCTAATTCGCTTTAGGTTTTGGCCCCCCCAATGAAAATTTACTGGCTCGGCCCCTGTGTCGTGCCTACATGATCCGAACTGCTCTTATGAACAACCGTCCAAACTTGATGGTTGCAGGTTTCGTTGGATTGAGCATCAAGGCAACAACTGCCAAAGTTGCGGACTTGCTTATGAGGATGAATTGGCCTGTGAAGCAGTAATAGAAACAAGAAATTGAAGAAATAGCAGGGTTGGTGTGTAGGAAAAGGGAGAAGAAGATGGTAGTAGGATTGGGGGTGAAGTTTAAGTATATATTGTGCAGTGGGAAGCTAAGACTACTTGATCATGGGAAAAATGAAAGAGAATGAGGTCTTAAGAAGGTATTATGCATTTACTGCAACGTGTATGTCTAATATCTCGTACAGAATTATGTTCCATGTGAAATCTCACTATATCATCATGTCAACTTCTTTTGAGTCTTTTGAACAAGTTTGAGAAGAGTGCAATTTGCAAATACAAGTATGTGTAAGCTAGGTTGTGAGACGATTTCTCCTCCTCCTCCTCCTTTCCCTCTTTTCTGCTTTCTTTCCTTCTGCTTGGTTGTTAACATTTTCATCGTGGACAGATTTTGGCCACAGAATCCAGAGATTTGCACTTAATTTGCACTACTTCAGTTCAACTAATTTTGATTCATATTTCATGATTCATCTTTCAAGTCATGACCGTGAAACTCGATGAATTTGATTGATACTTTTGTCATACATACTAGTGGAATATGGTTGGTTTTCTAACTCATTAATGAATTTGATTGATTCTTTTATTTGGCTAAAATTTCATTATTCATCCCCATGTCAAGAACAAATATTGCAGAGTATGTGACCGAAACAAGTATTATCCTATTTTGCGGGCATATAACGTTTATTATTTACAATGTTTCAAAAACCGATCCAGAATTAAAATCTTTTTGGCTATCGGTTTTCAGTTAAGCAATTCAACCATCCAATCCGAACAGATGATTCATTATAATTTAAAAAATACAAAAATAATTAAAATAAAAAACAGTCAAAACCGTTTTTCGGATCGATAATTTAAGCACCCAGATCAATGGGTCGATGATCAAGTCAATGGTTCTTGACAAAGAAATGGTTCAAGGGAAAGGATGGCAATTTCCCCCGTAAAACTGGGGGCTCGCCCTGCCCCAAATGGGGTGGGTTTTCCCCGACTTTAAACAAGGACGAGGCGGGGACGGGGAAAATAATTTTTCCCTGAACTGGGTATGGGACGGGGGCGGGTTTTGTATATAATTCCCCGAATCCACCCCAAATCCGAAGGTAAATTAGTAAAATATATCTAGGTTTAATATTGATATTTAAAATATCTCTAAATTTTTCCTAAAATTTTAAAATCCTAAGATACCATAATTTTATTTTTGAATTATCTATAAAAAGGTATTATAATTCAATTCTAAATACCCCAAAATTCTTATGTCTATGTATAAATTGTCCATAAAATAGATATTTTTTAAGTAATTGCTTTCGAACAGAAAAACTCAGGAATTCTCCATCCTCGATGGGGAATGAATGCCTCACCACCGGGGATAAGGCGGATACAGGGCAAGTATCGTGACTTTGGGGCAGAGACAGGGAGCAGGCCTGAACAGTTTTCTTGTCAAAGAGGACTAAGGCCGTAGCCCAGCGAAGAGAAGATAATTATTAGTATTTATTTATTATACACAGGACAGGAATCAAATGGACTTACAGAAATGAGAAATCCAATGTAATTAATGGTTAGTTAAGAATTCTCTTCTGAACTTAAAAATGAGTGATGGATTTAATAAGCATTCAATTATTTGTCACATTTCTGCTCTTATTTTGGGTGGTGAAGCATTTATTAATCCTAGTGTAATAGTGCTCCACCATCTCTCAGTCTTTCTCTGTGAATAGTGAACATTCTATTGAGCTGTGGGAGTGGAGGCATTAACATCTCATTAACTTGCTTCATGATCAGTGCATGCCCCACGCCCATATGCTCATCAGTCATCAATCGCCCATCAATGAGCTGGACCCCCACCACCTTCATCTCTTACCAATAATAATTCGCATCCTCTTAAATGCACACTTGCACACTACTTGGTGCTAATTGCCCTCTCTCCAACATGGTAACTCTCTAACTTCCATCCATCCAACTGGTAATAACTTTTTTTTTGCCACTTGGCTTTGTTTAAAAAAATTCTCGCACCCACTTGGCTCCCTCCAACATGCTGCTTAGTGCTTATTTGTCCATCACAGAGGAGTTGTTTGGTTCCATTGCTATTTATTTAATAATATTTTATATTTTATTTATTTTAAAAAATAAATTTTTATGTTTTTTTTGACAACTAGGCACATTAGACACCATCAAGCGTCACATAATCTCAATAGTGAAAAAATGCCTGGATGTGGGGGAAACATTTAGATGGTGTTTGGTATGGCTTATGTTTCTTTGATAAACGGTGCTGGTTCATTGCCATATAGGTGTTTGTACTAAAATGTTATTTGGTAAGTCTGTTAATAAATGTTTATTTCGATTTACGTGCAAGTCAACCGTTGGGAGAAGTTTCATTTTAACATTTCCCCCGACACCAAGGTGTTTATTTATTGTTCCACTTATGTGGTGACGAATGGTGCCTAGCTGTCAACAAACAATAGAAAAACTTACCAACCACTTTTCTTTGGTTTCAAAGACAAATCAAGTACAAACGTTTTTTAAACAAATAGAAGCCATACCACATATCCTCTAAAATGAAGCTTTCTCCTAACAAATGGCTCTCACACAAATCAAGACAAATGTTTATTTAATTAGCGATTTCACCTAATAACATTTCAGGAGAAACACATGTGATACTGAATTAGCATCGTTTTTCAAATAAATGACAATAGAACCAAATACCATCTAAGATGCTCATAGGATGTAAGCATTCATCATTTAAGAAAGATGAAGATGAGTTTGGATTGGCTCCCTATAGAGTGCATCTACACATGCCCCATAACATATCTCGATGTGCACCAGAAACATTTACAGTACTTGTCATGGGAGATATTCCCAATGCACAATTGGGATATTCTATGTGGCTTGTGTAGGGCATACTCAGTAGGGAGCCGATGCGAATTCGGTGGAGATTTGTCATTTGATATGATCCATTAACATCTCTCTTTCATCCTACTTTGTCTCATTTTTCTAAACCTTCATCACTCCATAATCCATCTTCTTAAGAACACTCCCGTGCTAAAAAAAAGAATAAATTGCATATTAATATCGTGTACTTTGGGGCTAGTCTCACTTTAGTACTCGAGCTTCAAAATGTTCCATTGTAATACTTGAACTCTAAAAAGCTGTCAATTTAATTTTCAAATGGAATGTGAAAGGGCATAAATATCCTTTGAATTTTGAATAGGTGAGAGGAACATAATTTTGAAATGGACAAAACAGCCTTGTTTAAATCCTTTGTTCACTTTATGCCCTAACCTTTTTGTCGAAGAACCAGTTTATCCCACCTGAGAACTATACGAAGAAGATGATGTCATTTTCTCGGAGAAGAGGGATTTAAATCGCCATCATTGTAATCCTTTCTTCAATTATTAAATTTATAATAAAGGGGGTTTTAGACCGCCATTGTTGCTATAGAAGACGAGTAATTCTTGATCTCACCAAGGTAAAAAGGTCTCAAAAACCTTAAAAAGGATAGATACTAAACCAACGGTTTTTGAGGAGTTGAATCTTCTGCTAACAAAATAAGTTCCAACCCTCAACTAATAACACAACACACCCCATCATAAGATTGGGACCCGCCATGTATGAAATGTGCGGTGTGAGATCATGTTGATAGAAGGTTAGAACGTATTTTGTTGATAGGTGATCTGTACTCGTTTTTGAGAATTCAGATACTCTAGTGGGACATTTTGAAGTTTAGGGACTAAAATAAAATTAACTCCAAAATATAGGGTACTAATATGCAATTTAATAAAAAAGTTCTCTTTATATTGATTATTTTTTAATTTTTATATTTTGATTATTCACAAGTCTCTTGTACACCTGTGCAGATATACGAGCTCTCCGGCCACTATAAAAATAATAATAACAAGGAAAGAGATGGGAAGAAAGGCTTTGCCTTCGAAGCCCCGAAATAATGACTTTTGGATCCAACATCCGTGCATTTTGCACAAAACGGCAAAATAAACACCAGTTTAGGTGTTTTTGGGGTTGGGTTTCAGGTTTCTAGTCCGGTCCGAGTAGGGAGGTCCGCTCCCCTCCTATCCAGTATCCAGATTCCAGTTTCCACCCAAAAAAGAAATTAGTTAAATAAATGATGATATATGATAGTCACCCTATTCCTACCTCAGCTCAAACTCATGGTGCAATGGTGCTCCAGCTCCACCATGAACATCATTGATTCAACTAACACGCTGACGCTACCAACTATATTTGCTTGCATCAGCACACTGGACCCACATCTCTATTCAGACGGCCAGGATCGTCTGATCTGTGCTGGTCATGATTGAGTTCTTCAATTGAATCATCAGAGAGAGAGAGAGAGAGAGTACGTTGATTATTTGTAAGTTGAAACTACGGTTGTTTTTTTGATAGGCTATAGCTTTTGTGTTAAATGAGATTGAAAAAGAAGAGAAAGCAACTTGGGCTTTGTCATCTCTTGTCTCCCCTCTCTCTCTCTCTCTCTTGATTAATTAATTGGAACTCTGCTTTGATTCCATTTCTTTATCACCTTCTCTGTAACTCCCATCTCTATCTTTTCGCCATCTCCCTCTCTGTTTGATAATCAGATTTTTTTATACTTCAAGCCAGAAGCAAAGAAGAAATAAAATAAGATCCATGGGAGAAGAGACTGCTGTAAACAAGTTACAGGAACAAGGACAAGAAGAAGAAGAAAAAGAAAGCCAGAAGAGATCTACAATAGATACTGCTTCTTCTTATGCAAAAGCAAATTCCAAGCCTTCAAAAGACAAGAAAATAGAAAACCAAGCATCCAAAAGAAGGTGGGTGTGTTTTCTTTTCTTTTCTTTTCTTTTTTAACTTGGCAAGTGGCTCACCAATGTTCTTTTAGTTTCAAAATTTTTTGCTTGGGTTTGCTTTTGGAAGATACTGTAAGGCTGAATTTCTTCCATTTCTTTCTTGCCAAGTGATCCAGTAGAATTTATGCATGTCTTTTGTAATCATGATAGGAAGGTGGTTCAGAAGACTGTGGTCACAGTGAGAATAGAAGCAAATTCTGACAGACAGAAAAGTGAAGGGCCACCTTCTGATTTTTGGTGCTGGAGGAAATATGGACAGAAACCCATCAAAGGATCTCCTTACCCAAGGTATGTCTCCTTTTGCTTTCTTTTTCCCTCTTCCTTCTTAAGATGTCATGATTTCTCATGCAAACTCTCTTACAATTGTCTATCAACTTCTTTCTCATCTTCTCCTTCTAAACTTCATTTTAGGGAAAAACATTAAAAATACAAGCTTTGGTTTTTAGTTTTTGATTTTCTCCTGGTGATGCCTTAATCCCAAATCATGGTAGACATACTTTATATGGGTTTTAGGATCTTTTTTTTTTCTGCTTCCTTTTCTTCTCTCCTTTTTTCTATAGGAAATCTCCAAGCATATTGCTCTCATGAGCTAAAGCAAAAAAGTGTTGTTGAATTGTCTCTGATGCAGTACTTTAAATTCTCATTCCAAGTCAAATTTCACATTGAGGAACATTAAGAAATTAAATCTTATTGTCTCCTTTTCCCATTCGATTTCTTACAGGGGCTATTATAGGTGCAGCACATCTAAGGGTTGTTCAGCTAAAAAGCAAGTAGAGAGATGTAGAACGGATGCTTCAATGCTCATCATAACCTACACCTCCAGCCATAACCATCCAGGTCCTGATCTCCACACTATCGACCCAAACCAACAATCACAACCAACCCCAGAAAGTCAGCCCACTGAGGAACTCCCTGCCACCATACTACAACAACAACAACAACAGACAATTACTAGTGAGGAAGAGGAAGATGCCCAAGAAAACCATCTCCAATACTCCCAATCTCCTATGGATTGCTCACAGGACAACCCCGCCAAGCAGGAAGAAGACCCTTCAACAACAGAACCAGAGAAGACCCAAAACTCATTAAATCTCCTCTTTGATGAAAATAATCCTCTCTCCTTTCCCCCTCTTATGACATTCCCAACCTCCAAAGCGGAAGAAAATGACTTCTTTGATGAGCTTGAAGAGCTACCCATATCTTCATCTTTAAGTGGCATCATGAGGAGTAATTTCTTTGATGAAAGGATCCTTATTCTTCCATTCTGAGAGCATTTAAGCAAATGTAGCAGAAATGCTCAGATATCATATTAATTATCATAGAGCACTAGTGTATGTCTTTGATTGTAACTTTTATTTGTTTATTGAAAAGGAGGAAAGAAGTGACTCTTCTCTGGGCTGAGATTCTGAGAATTAACATAAAAAAGTGGAATAGTTTGGGATCAAATGGTTACGAATATCGACAAATGGGAGATCCAAGGAGACACTGTGAAGTGCACCGAGGAGGTAACGGTGGAGGATATTGAATGGTCCTCCGTGTTTTGTGCTTTTTGGTAGAAAAGAGAAGATAAATGCCACGAAATTCATGAGGTGGCTGGCTTCCCGAATCCTGATTACTACTATTGCAGTTCTTCAGATTGGGGACTCGATTCTCAAGACACGAGCACTCTTTGTCTCTATCCTCCCTACGTTTGGGGAAAATTTTGGCCGTCTATATTCGATAGCTCAAGGTGCCAGCTACCTTTGCTGGTAAATAGGGGTGTCAATTGGACTGGGTTTCGTCCAATTCAATCCAGTCCAATGTGAGCCCATTACAAATGACCAGGTCCAATTCAGTCCATTAAAATATTTTGGATCATTTTGGATGTTTGGACAGTCTAATCCATTTAATTTAATTTTAATTTAGATTATTTTTAACCCAAACCTGATTCATTGACACCTATATTCTTATATTCTATTGTCTCAATCCAATCCAATCCAATATAAATTCATTATGATGGATTAAGTCCAATTTAATKTTTGGACTGACAATTTGTTTAATTTTATTTTAATTTAAATTATTTTTAACCCAAACCTGATCCATTGGCACCTATATTCTTATCTTCTATTGTCTCAATCCAACCCAATCCACTATAAAATCATTATGATAGACCAAGTCCAATTCAATCCAATAAATACTTTAGACTATTAAGTCTGAACCGGTCTAATTCAATATGTTTTATTGGTCCATCCAATCCATCCAAATTGATTTTGATTTGGACGGGATCCAACACAAAATTGGTCCATTAACACCTCTACCGGTAAAATCTCTCTAGCCAGTCATAACGGAGACCTGGGATCTGAGTCCTGCCTTCAACAGGGTTGAGGGGATTTAGGAGTTTTGGGAGCGAGGTACCTGAATGGGTGCCTGTTTGGAAAGGCTTTAACGTAGTGGCTTCTAACTTTGAAAGATGGACCCCACATAAAAAGCTTATAAACAATGTTTGGTGAAAACCCCAAAAGCCAAAAATACGCTTTCATTGAGACAAGAAAGTGACTTTCCAGTGAAACTGCTTTTAGTATAACTTCTTCAAAGCGGCTCAATGAAAGCAGTTCAGTCGAAGCTGAAGCCCTTACAAACGGGCCCTAGGTATTTATTCTCTAACATGCCTCTCACGACTTGGGATCTCTTGTCAACAAAACACATCCCAACAACCTAACAACATGATCTCCTCACTTTGAGACTGCGACCCACCATAAAAGTGGGACCCACCGTGCATGAAACGTGTGGTGTCAGATGATGTTGGGAGGATATGAAACGTATTTTGTCGGCAAATGATTCGGATTACACTCATGCAAAAGTTCATCAGGCTTGAAGTATGAACAAACACAGATCCATCCCTATCTTGTACTGAAATCAATTAATTATAACGCGGGTGACAAGGATCGAACGCTAAATCACTTAACTAAATAAGCTCCGATACCATCTTAAGAAACCGTTTAACATAAAACCTTAAGCTGTTTGGTGAAATACCTAAATAGGTATTTATTCTCATTGTACAATGAGTATTACACTAAGCATTTGCTCCAAAACTTCACACTGGTTGCCTTGTTGTGAGGCCTCACTCGGTTGAATCACTGTATCACCATTCTTGGGTTGTCATCTCAATTACAAACTTGAGCAATAGTAGAAAAAAGAGGTTGAATTAATCTTGTTTTGCAAGGATGAAATCCTGCAGGTACAAAATCAATTGCTCAAGTTAAAAAAAAAACAAAAAATCTTATCTTTTGATTGCCTCAGGGCGGGGGAATTGATGAAATAGAGCTTCCAAGTAGGTCCACACTCCATTGATTGCACAATGTATGAGGAACTAGAAAATGAAATGCGTCATCTCCCTCTTTTTTTTTTCTTTTTTGTTTTGTTTGCAATAGGGATAAACCGTGAAGTAAATGCCAAACTGAAAAGATATTGATTAAGATGCCACCCCAAAACAAAAAACAAAAACAATCGTTAGTGAGAGAAGAGCTGGAAATTGCCAGGCACAAGCACAATTTGTTGCAAGGTTGTAAGGTTGGGGAATATCATATTTCGTCTTTTAGTGTGTTTGGTAGTAGATTTACATTATTTTTATTTGGGAATCTTATCTATATGTATCTTAGGCCGCCAACCCCCACGTCTCCACATGGTCCCAGTCTTAAAACTTCATCCAACAAACGTGATATGGTTTAAGATTCTCCCCCTAGGCCTAGCTCTGTGAATTTATTGATGTAAACAAACTTGTAAAGCAAAGAATTCTGAGCTACTTGTTAATGTTTGTCCATGGTTGGATCCTGTGCAACACTAAATGTAGTAGCTTCTGAACTACCAAGGTGGTGGTCCTTTACATTTACAACATCCCTAGTGAATCACATCAATGAATGATTGATCTATCTACTGTGAAATCGAATATTGAAGCCTTCTTCCATAATTATTGCCTGAGTTTGGAACAGTATGGTATGGAATATGGAATCCATTTCGTTTCATGAATAGAAATGAGGCAGGCCCACAATCTAGGTCTTGCTTTTCACGAAACAACAGATTTCCCGAAGAGGGCGCTTTGGGTTTTGGAGCCACAGGAGTACACAACCAACGTCAGATTCTGCAAATTAGAAGAGAGGACCAACATGGGGTTAAGACTTAAGATTTAAGGCTCCGTTTGGTTTGTAGGAAGATTTGGGTGGGATGGAAAAATGTAAAAATTTACACTTTCATTGTTTGGTTTTAGATATGGGAAAATGACGGGAAAAGCACTGTGGCGAAGAGAAAGCCACTGTAGGGTGCTCTGTTTCACCGAGACAAAGACGAACAGTAGTTCGCCGGTGAAAAGCGAAGACGATGAACGATGAACGGTGCCACAGAACTGGGTTCGAGCGGGGAAGGTAGCAGATATGGGTTCGAAAGGGGAGGCAGCAGAAGAAGAAGAAGAAAGAGAAGCCGCCGTCACTGCTCTACTTCTGGGTTCAAACGGGGAAGGTAGCAGAAGAAGAAAGAGAAGCCACCGCCACTGCTCTGCATCTGGGTTCGAATGGGGATGGTAGCAGATCTGGGTTCGAAAGGGGAGGTAGGAGAAGAAGAAGAAAGAGAAGTCGCCGCTGCTGCTCTGTTTCTGGGTTCGAACGGGGAAGGAGAGGTAGCACTGGTTCTTTGTCGTCGATGGTAACAATGATTTCTCAAAATTTTCCACCGGGGTCGCATGGTTTTGGTGCAACCCCAAATCTATGATTTTGGAATCTAACATCCCACATATTTCTCATCTCATCTCTCTATTTCCCTCAAAACAAATGAGAGAAAAAGGAAGAATATTCCCTTTTTCTCATCCTCATCCCACAAACCAAATGGAGCCTAAGAATTTGCTTGCCTGACAGCCTGACACTACTTGGTGCCTGCACCTAAGAAGTGTGGAAAAAAGTGTCACATCCACGGATTAATCTTCATTAGAAAAAAAAGGTCCCAATCAGAATCAGAACCGGTATCGTAATAGTCTATTCCTAGTCTATTTAGTTCAAATAGGAGTTGAATTGAAAATTAGAATCATCTGGAATAGGATTTCATTCCCAAAAGAGAGGGAGGAAATGGCCATTCCCTCAAGTGGGGGAATGCCATTCTAGCAGGTCCAACCAAATAGTTGAGATCGAGATGACCCATTCCAATTCTAATTCCAGACCTGTCTTCCTGCAAAGCCAACGGGCCCTAATCACCTTTATGGTGGTCTAGTTCCTTCATATGTGCTATAAAGTGTTTCAAAGGTACTGTAGCTCCAGCGAGGGCAGTTCACATTCAGGGTTCTGCCCAGGTTTTAAAAACTGATCTGAAAATTGAACCACTTTGGCCATCGGTTTCTAAGCCAGCGGTTCAACCATCCAGGTCGAGTGGGTCAAAATGGTCAAGGTACAATTTTAGGTGTTTATTGCATCTTGACCATTGAATTAGCATTTAAGTCACAAGTTGGTTGGGAAGAAATACAAATAGAGAAGAGGTAGTTGTAAGCTTCCGCTGGGAAAGGAAAGAAAAGAGAGAGAAAGGGAAGAAAGAAAAGGAAAGAAAAAAAAGAAAGGAAAGGGAAGAAAGAAAGAAAGAAAGAAAGGAGGAGGAGGGCGTAGTGGTTCACCTGCAATGGCAGCGGCAGCAGCAATGGTGATGGTAACAGATAGCAGTGGCGAACTGGCAGCAGCAGATCCGACCTCAGATCTCATCTCAGTTCTCTTGCATCTCATCTCAGATTTGAGATCTGAAAACTGATCTAATTGATCTCATTTCAACCCCTCTCCCATCTCTCGATCTGCTCTTGATGTAACCGTTTCTGGTCATGTACCAATTTTCTTTTTTTGCTAAGTACCTTGTCATTTGACCTGGTCCCTGGTGGCGAATTGCCTGGGGGAGAGCTATGTCGAGCTCCCTGATGGTGAATTGCCTGGGGGAGAGCTATGCCGAGCTCCCTAATGGCGAACTGCTTGGGGGAGAGCTATGCCAAGCTCCCTAATGGCAAACTGCCTAGGGGAGAGCTATGCTGAGCTCCCTGTGGTGAGCTACCTTGGTGGACTCGTCATTTGCCCTACTCCTAGGCGGCCTGTGACTCAGAGAATGGTGGAGCTCCCTGGTGTAGCGCAACTCGACTGCCCTCTGCATGAGGTGATCTTCTCTCCTTTGTAGGCGGTGGGAGCTGAGGGACCTGTGAGACCTCCATCTTTTCCTCCTCTTCGTAGGCGACGGGAGCTGAGGGACCTGTGAGAACTAAATCAGGGGACCCGGGGGTATTTACCTGGCGGGGACTCTCCGATGCTTAAGTTAGCACTCTGACTGTGGAGAGCTTGAAGATGATATTAGAGAAATGAGAGAGAGCTAGAGAGCAAGGATTACCTCCATTTTTTCTCCCTTTCTTGTCTTTGGGGGTCGGAGTCCTTATATAGCGGTGTCCTGTCTAATCAGGCGTAACCGCTTCTGTCAAGTCAGGCATAACCGCCTTTGTCTCTCTGTCACAACCGTTACTGCCAGAGCTGAGGTGGCGGGTGCAGGCAGCTATTGCAGAGTACAGTTCTGCCAGGCAAGGGATAGCTCTCAGGGCTGACAGGCACGACGCCGCCTGTCAAGAGACGTGGGCGCAGGTCTCCGGATCTGTCAGGCAGGAGATCTTCCTGCGATATGCCAAATTGCTCTTCCGCGAGCTACCCTGTATCGAGCTACCCTACAAGTGGCGAGCTGCCTATAGCGAGCTGCCTGGGGAGAGCTATATCGAACTGCTTGTGGCGAGCTCTGTCGAGCTGCATGTGGTGAGCTATGCCAAGCTACCTGTGGCAAGCTATGCCGAGATGTCTGTAAGTGGCAAGCTGCCTGTGGCAAGCTCTGCCGAGTTGCCTGTGGCGAGCTATGCCGAGCTGTCTATAAGTGGCAAGCTGCCTGTGGCAAGCTCTGCCAAGCTGCCTATAGCGAGCTATGCCGAGCTGTCTGTAAGTGGCAAGCTCTGCCGAGCTGCCCAGTTGTCAAGAGGCTGCACTTGGCATGAGGTGCCAGGTGTCACAATTTCACTGGAGGGCCAAATCCGCCCTCATCAGCTCTGATCTCATTTCAATCTCTCCCCCATCTCTCGATCTGCTCTCTATTAAATGTTAACAGTTCAATAAACCATACCTCACTGCAAGGATCAAATGGTTTAATGGTTCGACCGCACAGGTCAGCATCAGCGGTTTTCTGACCTTTTCAACAATTTTTTTTTTTTTGAAGAAGAGCAGTTCATAATATAACAGGAACCAAAGACCTGACCGATTCCCAATTTTTCCAGTCCAACCATCCAATCCGGTCCCGTTTTGAAAACATTGGTTCTGCCTTTCCCCATTAATCGTTTCCTTTTTCAAACCGTTATCTGGGGTAAGAGAAACTTCATGCCAAAAACAAAGGTCGGCAGAGATTCCTGAGTACCGGCCCTGGTGTGAAGGAATTTCCCAGATGAGCCCAGCCATCTAGCGTAAAACAAATTAAAATGTGACTTTGATAGAGACGGGTTTGTTGTTAAGCGGCTTTTGTATTTTCTCCTCTTTTTCTGAAATCTGCTTTGTCGTTGAGCCCACTAAATGATATTTGTATCACAATTACAATTACTAAAAGATCGTAAAAGAAGATGAAAGATGTGTGCCAACCTCTTACATTGAATTCTCTCACCTCCTATGTGCTTCCTATGTAAGGTATGTTTTAGCCCACAGCCCCACCTATCATCTATTAATCTCCAATAATTTTCTACTCAGGATTTTGGAGCATGCAAGGTTCAAAATATCGACAAATATACGAGAAAGGTATTGTATCAGCATCCAAAGGCATGGGTGGAATGACACAAGGGCCATTTGAATGTTAATGGACCTATGACCGCAGTCATGACCACCACTAAAAGCTTGTGACTGCTAGCATATACCAATTACACCGGCTGTCCAAATTTGTTAGTTCCATGGATTTCTCAAAAAAAAAATGAAAACTCTGAAAATTATAAAAATAACATTTTAAATGTTTTTTTATTGCAGGAGAGAATTATAAGATGGATCTATAAATTATCTATTAAACTCATTGATCCAACAATAGCTTATATAAAAAATGATTTTTTCTTAATTTTTAGGAAAAGTCTGAAAATTTAAAAATATATATTTCATATATTCTAAATGATTTTCATGATAAAGAAGAACTATAAGATGGATCTATCAAAATCTTTGATCCAACAACAATTTAATGCATCTTGTAATGATTGGAAGCACAAACATTTATGTATTATACGGTTACTGTACAGTATCTACATGTTCTAGACTTGGTAATGTTGATTGTAATGTATCTCTTCATATAAACTATTAGTGTTTTTACACCCCAGTTATTTCAACATTTGATTTAGTGTTATTAATATACTTATGAGATTTGTAAGAGTTTCCCCAACATATTCAAATGCATCCATGTTTTTCCACTGTATCCATGTGTATTCAATGTGTATTGTGATACATATCCATATCCAAGCTTATCAATATGATGATTCATGTACTGATATTTTGAACCTTGAGAGCATGTCTTTACCCCCCTTGGATGGTCATTGATTTCAATTAAACCTTCGGAAGGGGGAAATTCTTTGGAAGTTTACAACCGGAATCTCAATCAAATGATCCATGCTGGGTGAAGACAACTAACCTAGAGAAATTCTCTTTTTCCACATATGGTATTCTAAGATGGTCAAAGAATAGCATCAACACCATAGTTGTTAAGTCATTGCCTAGGCGCTTGCTTGAGCAACAGAAATGGCTAGGCATCTTATTAGGGAACTAGATGCCCCACCCTTGGATGGTCATTGTCACTTGGGAGCCCAAGTGACTAGATGCCCCATGGCACCTTGACAACTATGCTCAATGCAAAAGGCTTCACTTAGCATCATACCTTCCTCTGTGGGACAAGATTAAAAATGAACTTTGATGGATTTAGCCTTGGGAACCCCGGTGAATCAAGTATGGGGGGTGCATTTAGGGACTTAAATCGGAAAATCAAAATGGCATTCTTTGGGCCAATAGGGACTTGCAACTGCATTCAAGAACTCCAAGTTTTTCAAGAATTGAAATTCGTAGTATCTTCTGGCTTTTGGAGATACCATGCTACAAGGGGGGATTCTAAAACCATCAGGTCATGGCTGGAAGCTTAGTAGTCTGGGCCATGGAAGGTCAGACATCTGATAAGAGAAGCAACTGGCAAGTGGCAACACACTTGGATGTGGGCCTCTTCTAGATTCCTCAATCTGCTAACACACGTGATGACTCACTACCTTGTGAAAGTGTTGGCACACAGGCTTTTGGTGTGGGGAGAATATCCTTTGTGCTAAAATCAGAGAATTGTATTTTTTTTAATTAGGTGCATATGGGGATGTCTTGCTCCTTGTGCAACATACTGTTGTAAATACACTTGTATTCTGATAATAAAAGTTTGTACTTTGTAGTTACTGATAAAGAAAAAAAAAAGACTCAAGACCTGGTGAAATACCAGGTGGGATGAGAATAGAGGGATCTGCTGACACACTTGATAACTTGCTAGCTTGTGAAAGTGTTAACAGACAGGCTTTTGGTATGGGGTGAATATATTTTGTGCTAAAATCAGAGAGAATTGTATGGGAGCTCTATTAGGGACATAGGAGGATCAATAGGGCTTGCTCCTTGTGCTTGTACATACTGTTATACACTGTATATTCCATTAGTGCAGTTACTTACAGAAAAGAAAAAGAAAAAAAGATTCAAGACTTGATGAAATACCTACCACGTGTGATGAGAATAGAGGGTTGGCTAGATAAACAAATGGAGATTTAATGGATAGATCATGCACATCAAAATGTATTCACTTCAAATTTGTTACTCTATCTCTATTGTAGTCTTCCTTTAGTACCAATGATGCGCAAGCTATTGAAGGATGAGAAATTTCATAACTTTACCTTTTTGAAATGAAATCTCACAAAAACAGAGAGAGCAACTAATTTGTGAAATTGACATGGAGACCGTCTTCACTGGTCGGTGGTAGGTGTTAGCGGCTGAAGGGCTTTCAGAGGGTTCATGATTACACCATCAATTAGTCCATATTCTTTGGCTTCTTTTGCACTCATGAAGAAATCACGGTCAGTATCCTGGTTGATCTTCTCAAGGCTTTGGCCAGTGTGGTAGGAGAGGTAACCATTCAGGTTAGCCTTGTGGTGCAACATTTCATTAGCCTGGAGAAAGATGGATACTGATTATCAAATAGAATTCCATATGCCAGACAGAAAGCTCCAAGGAAAATATGCTGATGATGAAGTGACACATTCAAAACATGTGAGATAGACATTTCCACGGGCACGCACACACACACACACACATCCTCTCATGTACATCTTCCTCTCCCCCTTTTGGAAATAAAAGTAACCTTTTTTTTTCAAATATATATATATAATATAACTAGGTACGTATATAATACAAACATAAAGTACATTAAAGCCAATTTTAATTATCCATACTGGTGTTAGAGCACGTGTTATGCTTGTATACAAGTAAAGAACAAACATACAAGTTTATATTACATAATCAAATTTTACTTTTATGGCATGCACCAATCCCAAAGCAAGTATCCCCTTATATAGTATAGATATCATTTTTTTGGATGATGTATGTGCATATCATATACTCATAATTCCATCATAATATTATTACGCATGTTCTATACTTGTATTTTATATACTTGAAAAATAGGTATGCTCACAATATACTTGTTTATATATGTGACTTTATAATTTTCCAAATCAATACAATATAAATCACCATCATCATCTAAGCCTTATTCCCAACTATTTGGGGCCAGCTACAAAAATCCTGTTTCGCTATTCCATTCTGTTTAATGCCATATTCATTATTAAATAACGGGCACCCCCACCTTCATGGTACATGCATGTAATATTCTTAATCTTTGAATATAGGCATGTAACTTTGAACTTTGATCTGGTTGTCCATTTGAATTACTTAGTATATGTTTGGCATCGATGCTGCAGTTGCAGCATCTTTGTTTGGAATTGTTGCTGCCAGGTAGGACGTTTCCTGGAGCAACAGCAACTTTTTCTGTTTGGTACCATTGCTCCAGGAAACGTTTTCAGCACTGGTACCCATTATCCAGTGCCACATCAATGCCCTGTTGATAGCAACGAGCTGCAGCTCCAGGAAACGCCAAATTTGGCGTTGCTCCAAGCCATGGCTTACCGATTTCCGAGGCGTGGCTCAGAGCACCGTTTTTGATGAAAAAACGGTTCCAAACAAATGCCCGTTTCCTGGAGCACCGTTTTTTCCGATGTGGCGCCGTTGCTCCAGGAAATGGCAACGATGCCAAACAGCCCCTAAATCTATTATAATATCAAATGATAGTATTCTATTCAAAAGATTAAAAAAAAACGTGTTAGTATCCTCCTGTGTTTTTCTCTTCTACAAAATAAGAGAAAAGATCAGGGCAAATTAGGAAATGTACCGCTTGTGCATATTATTCACAAAGCAGGTGATGGAGAAGGAATCAAAGAAACAAGATTGAAGGAAAACATTAGAAAGAAATGGCTTCAGTACCTGGAGTAATGATACAAGGGGGAAGGGAAGTTCAGACAACTGTTGGAGAAGAAGCCTCTCCAAACAGCACTCCATTAATAATATATAGTCTATTAGGCATCATGACAGACCATCAAATAACATGTTAATTGAAAATGACAACCAAACTAGCCTCAATAGAGGCAACCTTCATAAATAATATAGTAATCATATGCATTCTAAAAATATAATGAGAAACTACCAAATAATATGTTATTTTAAAATGACAACAAAACATGCCTAAACGTCCTATGAAAGACGTGAAAGAAAATAGTAATTAAATAGGTAACTTTTACCTGGATGTCTATATCAGTCTGCCCACCTTGAGCCCCACCAAGAGGTTGATGGATCATTATCCTCGAGTTTGGTAAACTATAACGTTTCCCTTTATTGATTAAAAATTTCAAGATGAAAAGGAGCATATCCAGAGAAACACATCATGAGCCAGGAAAAAGGAGAAGAAAAAATTAGACATCCTCTGCTCTTAGGAAGAGAAAGATATATATACATTACCTTTGGTGCCAGCACTCAGAAGGAAAGCCCCCATACTGTTCACAAGAAGGCCATTATGAGTACAATAGCTCAGTAGGCCGATGCCTTATTGCAAACCACAATTGTCAAGTTCTAGACAAGGAACACACTAGAACTAACATTCTAAATATTTGCATTGCAATTCTAACAACAATCCATGCTCCCATACTCAAGCATGAAACCACCGAGTCCCCTTTAATAGCCTCAGGTGTGCTGGAATTTTAATAACCAACTAATGTAGGAATTTAACAACAGTCCATATTAACTCTACCACAGGTCCACAGTCTGATGCCTATCTATCTGCTCATTTTACAAAAGAGGTAAAATTCCATCCTCTGATCATTCTACCAACTACTGGTAGTTATTTATACTAGTACCACCTTAACCTGTGTCTCTCATAAGATTGCCTACACATGCTAGCACAGATATACATGGATTATACTTGTATATTTACATGGATATTGTACTTAAATTGATATACACACATAAATGAATACATGTATATCAAACATATCACACATAGATTCAGAACTAATTTGTTAAGACATTTAATTTACATGTATGCAAAATTACTTATATTATTATTTAGATATGAACATCCAAACAGTTGGACAGATGACAATGAAAGCTTCATATTGAAATGCAACTTGTGACCTACACAGGGTGACAGTCCAACCAGTACAAACAAGCTCCACTGTAAAATTAAGCAATAAAAAAATAGGACTTCCACCATCCAAATTCAGCCCCCACCCCCTCTCCAGGGACTGGGACAAAATCCTAGAACAATGAACATTCTGGATGAAGCACAATGAACAATACACACATGCATTATAGTGGATACTACACCATATATTTAATCATTACTGAATAGTAACAGTAGAGAACTCCAACATTGAAGCAGAAGAATCAAATAAAGATATATAGCAAAAATGTAAACATGGAATGTTAATTATAATTATAGCACCATTGAGAGATTATAAAGTTTTAGTTAAGCAATAGAAATTTTTTCACCATCTGTAAACTATAGCATGTTTAATGAGGAAAAGTGAAACATATACATTAACGTAATACAAGAAAAAAGTGAAAAAAAAAAAGAATGGAAAGCAGGAGGAATCAAAATCTGTGAACTGTAAAGGCAGCATGATATGATAAAATCTACAATAAATGGGCCTACCTAGCTGCCAATCCAACACAAACGGTTGAAACATCAGGACGGATATGCCTCATGGTATCAAATATAGCCATACCTGCCAAGGATTTATGTAGTAGCTTAGACGAACAAAGCCAGGGTGTCTATGTGATATAGAAGGTATAGATTTGTTCTTACCAGCTGTCACCGAACCCCCTGGAGAATTTACATACATTACAATATCCTGTTATAAAATGTAAATAAATGTATTAAATTGTATGTCATGATTATTAATGGCTAAGCAGGAGTAGAAGGTTGGGTTGGAAAAGATAACAACCATAAGCAACAAAGAATAAAAGATATATCACAAGCACAGACACATTGGTCCCAACTATCTAGAGTCTTGGGATGGGTGGACTGGATATAAGATCTAACCTTTGGCCTTTTTTGCACATAGTGGTGGCTCACAGCCTCAAAATCATGTTGTTATGCTTGTCAGTCCAAGATTTTAGCATTACAAACACAGACACAAACAACTAAAAAATAAAAAATAAAAAGAATGCAAACTCAAAGAGTTAACTGGGATGTGAAAGGCTTGCATTGCTGTTTACCAGAGTTGAAATCTTAAAGATAGCAAATAATGCAAACAGAAAGGCCTAAATATATCGCCAGAAGGCCATTAAATTATGGGCAAATTTCTTAAACTACCCCTACCGTTTAGCGAATTGGCAAACTGCACCCTTACTGTTTAACTATTGTCTTAAACCACCCCTACTGTTTCTGACCATTGTCATCGCCATTAAGTCGTAACGAAAATGATGAAATGTCCCTTTTGCCCTTAGTTTCTTCCTCATTTAACTTAATTCAAAATCTCCCCTTCCTCCGGTCTAGCTGTTATCGTCCCCAACCTCACAATGGGAACATTTTTTTTTTTTGATAAATCTCACAATGGGAACATTGCATGCCAGCAACTCCTCCGATTTCTTCTCTTCCTCTCCTTAGACCCCTTTTTCTAATTATCTCTCTCTCTCTCTCTCTCAGCTTCTCTCTCCATCTCTCTCTATGTTACCCCTAACTACCCAACTCAAGTAAACCAACCCCAAAGCACCATTGAAAATTGTAGAAGATAACTGTAAAAAGTGAAAGCATTGGATGTTATGGGCCCGAGCGTAGGATCGTGTCACAGGTCGCTCCACCGCAGGAACCTCAGATCTTTCCTTGCCCTTGGCCTTGCGTACAAGCCCTATTTTGACTATCTCGTGGGTGATTTGTCCAAGAGATCACCCGAACTCTCCTTACTCTCTTTCTTGACTGCGAAAACTGAATGTCTTTTATTTCAATTCGTAGCTCCTTAAATAG